CTCAATACTTGTTTGACAAGGCGGATATAGTCCCTAAAGTTGGATGTTTTTCACCTTGGTTTCATGTGTGTCTGACAACATAGGTAAGGCCTTAACTGCTGTTGGATGAAGTACAATGTTGAAAATTTAGAAGTACACTGTTGTAATAGAAAGAAATTAGTAGGATGCTATTATAGTTATACACAAATGGATGGAAGTGTGTTACTATTTCATGCATTTAGCCCTTAAAATATAAGTAAAAGTTTGTAACTATTTGGATGTGTTGTTGTTTATAGGTCTAGCTCAATGCTGCTCATGGAACTACCATTCATAAGATCAAATATGATTTTATAAAAAAGAATTAAAAAAATGGCGTTACATTCGGAACAAGATTCGACGGATGATTACCTTTTCAAGATTGTTTTACTTGGTGACTCGGGTGTTGGAAAGTCAAACTTGCTTGCAAGATATGCAAGGAACGAGTTTTTTGCAAACTCAAAGTCAACAATAGGAGTTGAATTTCAAACTCAAAAGATGGAAATTAATGGGAAAGAAGTGAAAGCACAAATATGGGATACAGCTGGTCAAGAACGTTTTAGGGCGGTTACATCTGCGTATTATAGAGGCGCGGTTGGTGCTCTTTTGGTGTATGACATCACCAGACGCCAGACGTTTGATAGCATTTCTAGATGGCTTCACGAACTTCATAGTGAGTTTCATCACCAAAATAGCAATCTACTTTCTTTTATTTGTTTATCATAACATCCTACTTTTTTGTGTCTTTTCCAGCGTAAATGCAAAAATAGCAATGTACTTGTGTTTTTTTTCATACTATTACAACATTGTACATTGAAAAAATATACCCAAGTAAATGTACTGATAGAATAAAAAAAATGAAAGTATGATGTTATAGTTTGGTAGATCTTTAATTGGAATTAGAATGCTTTAATACACAAATATAAGAAAGTACAATATCTTGCAATTAGTGCTTATTTCTATTAAGACATTGTACTTTGAAAAATCTACCAAATATTGAATTGTGCTTGTGATTGTTTATCTTCTTAGAACATATTACTTTGAAAATAGCAATTTACTTTTATGTCTCTCTAGGGTTAATCGTAAAAAGTAGCAATGTACTTTAGTTGATTTGTTTATTATGGCATGTTACTTTCATTTTTAGTTCTATTACAACACTATACTTTGAAAAACTCACCCTATTTTCACTACTTTAATAAATAAAATGGAAGTATGATGTTATAGTTTGGGTAGGTTTTTTAAAGTACTACCTGGTGCATGTTTCACAATGTAATAGGAAGAAATTAAAGTAGGATGCTATAATCAACAAATAAAAGGAAGTACATTGTTAGTTATTGCATTTAACCCTTTACAACATGTCAACATTGTACTTTCATTTTTTTTCTAATTAAGGCGATTTTTTCCTTATTTACGGTATCTACAAATTATGGAAATAGGAAATTCCTTCAATTTGGATGACATTGCTATGATAGGATAGGTTTTTCAAAGTAGGCTGCTGTAATAAGAAGAAATGAAAGTAAGATTCTCCAATAAACAAACAAAAGAAAATACATTGCTATTTCTTGCATTTCACCCTTTTAAAATCGATGATTATATTTTTTGTGTTGAATTTCTGATGGGTTATTTCCAACTTGTTGAACAGCACATTGTGATATGAATGTAATTACAATTCTTGTTGGCAACAAAAAGGATCTCAAAGACGCCAGAGAAGTTTCAACAGCCGATGGGAAGTCATTAGCAGAAACCGAAAGTTTATTTTTCATGGAAACATCGGCTCTTGATTCCTCGAATGTAAATGCTGCTTTTGAGACAATTGTTAAAGAGATTTACAATATATTAAGCAAGAAAGTAATGCAGTCTCAAGAATTGAAGACAGATTCTTCAATTGGCAGTGGAAAAGGGAAGACTATTGTTTTAGAGACGAATAAAGATGCAAACAAAGAAGAGAAGAAAGAGGAGGAGGCTAAAAAGGGTGGTGGTGGTGGTTGGTGTTGTTCGTCTTAGATTAAAATTGTTACTTTGTGTAATTGTGGTAGGAATTGTAAATTACTTGAAATGGAAGAAAAAGGTTTAGAGCATTTTGTTGCGATATTGTTTTTCCGATTTAGAGTTTTTTGGTTGCGTTTGGTACATGAGATTGGACTGGAATGAACAAACTTTATATGGTAATTTTTTAAAGTGATGATGGAGAGAATATTTACGTCTTTTGCATAAACAAAGGTTGAGGATGAGTCTTTTCTTATATAGTTTATGTTTTTGGATGGAATAAAAACTTATCGTTATTACTTATTATTATTGAATCAATTCTAGTCTTTGTCCAATTTTTATTTAATGCAATATAAGACCATCATGTTTTATCATGTCAAATTAGATATGATAAAGGTGAAAATCTAGCTTTTATATCCGTTGCATATACTATGTCAGGGTTACATCAAATTTTTCTCTCCATCCCCTCCATCCCTTTGATGTCCAAACCTAAACTTTGCAAGTTGTCATCTTTACCATCCATCATAAACGTTTTTTAATTAAAGAACTAAGAGCATCTCTAATTGTTACACCATCTTATAACATTAAATAAATATCAATTCTTTATTTCATTAATATTGACCTCGAAATAAATATCACTCCAATGGTTAATATATATGGTAAATATTTTTTTCAATTTGTTTTTCCTAAATCTAATCCTATTTCTCGAATATGACAGTACCAAACAGCTTGTTAGAGACCATGGGAAAGTTTTATCGAATTAAGGATTGTAAGGGCTTCGTTATATCAGCATACAATGTCATGTAGATGCTGATCGTGATTAAGACGTTATCAAGGAAGATGATATAAATTACATGAGCTCCAATTTTGGTTCTAAAATGGTAGAGCCTTTTGTAATTTCGAATGATGTCGATATGTATATGACTATGCTAAGTTTCTTCCTCTCCAAGAGGTCAACACACACCATATTATCGCTAAGATATGTGTTTAAAGCTGATTGTGATGTACATCTTTGCGATACTTCTCGTAGCATATGCTGCATTTCTGTCACACCCCCAAACCTGAACGGCGGAAACGTTCGGGGGCGGATGACTTCATGTGGTAACGTAACAAATGAATACATAGTAAAGAAAGCAATACAACCATCATATATATAATTGAAAGTTTACATTTGTCAAAAGTTACATGTTCAAAACCAATTACAATATGATGTCAAAATATGAGATTAAACTGGCGCCGCAACATCCCTTCATCAAAAGCATAATGATACCTGTAGTTACTGAATCCCTGGGACATACAAGTAATTTTGAAAGAGTAGATCAGCATTTAAGCTGGTGAGTTTCATAAGTATTTAATGACAATGTTTGTATGAAATGAAATGTCTTGTCCTTGTTTGTTTGTGTTTAGAAAATCCTATATTTTCTACTAGTATAAAAGTAGTCTTCCTTCCAAGACCAAAGTTTGTTTCCAAAAATGTATGTAAGTGTAAAAATAACCAATATGTTTGAAAACCTCGTAAATCAATGTATTTTTAATACCTCATGTGAGTTTTATAACCATACTATTGACTCGGAATGCCTATACACAACGTTCTTCAGGCGTTGGAATGTTATGACGTTTGTCACCCCAAATGGTGGACTGTAGCTAACAGTCAGGGCGGGTTGTCAAGCCCGTATAGATCTATACACAAACACCATGCCCCCTCCAAGGGATTCTGGTATATAATACAGGACTTGAAATGTGTACTCGAACGTACGTGAAGTTAATGTCTCACAGAACCGTAGTATAAAAACAGATTTACGTGTTAAAATGTTCGTTTGCTCTTGTATATGAAAGTGATTTCTTGAAAATCGTGTTTCTAGTATGTAAAAGTTAGCAATATCCTCATAAAACTATACCTATTATAGTTTTCTAAAAGTGTGCCTCGTTTGTTTTAGAATATCTAGAAAAGGAATCACTTGTTATGAAAGCATAGATTTTTGTAGAGCCTAAGATAGACACATATACATTAAATCTAGGAAAAATGTTTAGTTTATACATGCATTACAACAATTTATAGTTTTAAAGATAGAATGCTATTGTAATATATTTTGTATACGGGAGTTCCCTATAAAGTTTATAAATCACATATGATTCTACTTAATAAAAGTGTATAATAATCTTTATATATAACACCCGATAGTAGTCGTGTGTTTTACTTGTATTCCCCCCCCCCCCTTAGAAAGCATATAAAAGCGTTTAGAATATTTAAAAAGGGTTAATTAAGGGGTATGAACTCACTTGAAAGTTTGAAGATAGCGAGATGGAAAAACCGGGCAGAGTTTCGTCTCGGGAAACGGATTTTTCTCGGGATTCTCGGGAATCTCGGGAGTAAAATCGACCTTCGGGACTTGAGCAAAATGACCAGGGCTTCGGGGTAGTGCGGGCACGGAAATCGAGGCAATATCGTGAGAGAAATGAGAGAGATGGGGTGGATTTCCCGGAACCCTCGCATCTCTATTTATAGGAGGCTGAGAGGCCTCATTACGCGAGGCGTACACACGTACGCTGGGCGTACGCGTACGTCATGCGTGACCGAATCCTCGACTGCCTCGGAGCTCGGATGGGACAGGTCGGTGGTTCGCACAAGCGCGACGTGGACGATCCGAGGCCAAGGCCTTCCCGTACGCGGGGCGTACGGGGTTACGCGGCGCGTAACTCGGATGAGTACACTGACTCCCCCTTTGGATAATACCGGATTTTGATTTAAATAAATATATAATTTATTTAATAAACTTCAAAAATTCATATCTTCTTCATACGAACTCTGTTTTCGACGTTCTTTATATCCCTGCGAAGGTGAGACCATACTCTACAACTTTCGTTTAGATTCCGTCGGCAAATTCCGAAATTATTTTTATTTTTATTTATAAAATGTCGTGATTAAGAAATTTCTTTAAACAATTCATAACTTCTTTATCTGACGTCGGTTTTTGCCAGACTTTTTACCGCTGAAATACCATTGTCGAGACCTTCGATTCTCGTTTAGGTCATTCCGGCCAAAAGTCGCTCGATCTCCGATTCGAGTTTTTAGTTGTCTGTTGCTAAGCCGAATTTGGAAAAATCTTAACTTCAATATACGAAGCCGGATTTGGGCATTCTTTTTACGTACGATCCCGGTTTAATGATATAAAACATAGTAGGTAGTTAAATAGAAACTTTTTGGACATTTTATTATCAACGTTAATTTTATTAACTCAAAAGTGGTTACAATACTTGACCTATTAGGCCATTACAAAGAGTTGAAATATCGGGTTGTCACATCATCCCCCCGTTAGAGGGAATTTCGTCCCGAAATTTAAAGTAGTAAAGACACTAGTGAACATGAAAGAGATGAGGGTACTTTTGTTTCATCTGATCTTCGTTCCCATGTGAATTCAGGTCCTCGCTTGGCGTTCCAGCGAACCTTCACGATGGGTATGCGACTTTGTTTTGTTTGTTTGACCTCTCGGTCCATGATTTCTACTGGTTCTTCCACAAAGTTGAGGCTCTCGTTGATCTCGATTTCGTCGAGTGGAATAACAAGAGTCTCATCGGACAGACACTTTTTCAAGTTTGAGACGTGGAAGGTTGGATGTATGTTACTAAGTTCACGCGGTAGGTTAAGCTTGTAAGCCACAGGGCCGATTCTGGCAAGAATCTCGAAAGGCCCTATGTATCTTGGATTTAGTTTCCCACGCTTTCCAAAGCGTATTAAACCCTTCCACGGTGAGACCTTTAATAAAACGTGGTCTCCTACCTGGAATTCCAAAGGTTTCCTCCTTTGGTCAGCGTAGCTTTTCTGTCGGTCTCTAGAGGCTTTCAATCGTTCACGAATCTGAACGATCTTCTCTTTCGTTTCTCATATGATTTCCGGACCGGTGAGAGTGCTTTCAGGAACTCTTCCTTTAGCTAACTGGGTATCGCCAACTTCAGTCCAGCACAGAGGGGATCTGCACTTTCGACCATAGAGGGCTTCAAACGGAGTAGCCTTTATGCTTGTATGATAACTATTGTTGTATGAAAATTCAACAAGGGGTAAATGGATATCCCATGCCTTTCCAAAGTCAATCACACAGGCTCTCAGCATATCTTCTAAAGTTTGTATCGTTCTCTCACTTTGCCCGTCTGTTTGTGGGTGGTAGGCTGTACTCATGTCTAGCTTAGTCCCCAGGGAACCTTGTAGTGACTGCCAGAATCTTGAAGTGAATCTACTATCTCGGTCGGAGATAATGGATATCGGAACACCATGCAGTCGCACTACTTCCCTTAAGTAAGTTCTTGTAAGCTTTTCCATTTTGTCAGTCTCCTTGATGGGTAGGAAATGTGCGGATTTGGTCAATCTGTCGACGATGACCCATATGGTATCGAGTCCACCCGTCGTCTTGGGTAACTTGGTTATGAAGTCCATAGTAATCCGTTCCCATTTCCATTCTGGTATCTCTGGTTGTTGTAGTAATCCTGATGGTTTTTGATACTCGACCTTAACCTTAGCGCAAGTAAGGCATTTACTTACGAAGGTAGCAATTTCTGCTTTCATGTTAGGCCACCAGTACAATTTCTTAAGATCCAGATACATCTTATCTGAACCCGGGTGAACGAATACCTCGTGTTGTGTGCTTCAGTCATTACTACGTCTCTGAACCCGCCATGTTTCGGCGTCCAGATTCGGTCCATAAGATAATATGCTCCACCACCCTTGACTTCTAGATTCTTTTCCATTCCTCGCAGGGATTCACCTGCCACATTTTCAGGTCGCAAAGCTTCCACTTGTGCCTCCTTAATTTGTGTGGATAAGTGGGAATGGATAGTCATAGTCAGGGATTTGACCCTCCGACCAGTGTATTCCTTTCGACTGAGGGCGTCAGCTACCACGTTGGCCTTGCCAGGATGATAACGAATTTCGCATTCGTAGTCATTTAGTAACTCAACCCATCGTCGTTGTCGCATGTTGAGTTCCTTCTGATCGAAAATGTGTTGAAGGCTCTTGTGATCGGTGA